CTTCTCTTGTCTGCAACTGAGAGAAGAATCTTCAACTGGAAATAGCAAAATAAACAAACTAAAGAACAGAAGTTGTGCCTATGATAAGCAAAAGAACTGTCATTAGTGAGTACCCATTTTATGCCAAGCCCATATCCCTGTTCTAACCAAATCCCATAACTCAGAAAAGTAGGTATTACTATAACCGGCAGGCCCCTCCTTGCCCCCGCCCCCCTCCTCGCCCCCATGCTTTGTTAGCACCTAGGTGGCAATAGGAGGAAAATATAAAGGCGGTAGATCTACATTTCAGCAAGTCATTTGAGAAAGGCCCTAATGAATTCCCTGAGGAAGTGGGGAAATGTGTGGTGGAGGATGGTGAGGTGAAGAGGTTTCACAATTGATTAAATAACTTGATTTGTTGTCAGGCTCCAGGTTTGCATCTGGATATGCCACTTTTCAGTTTTCTTATCTGCAAAATTAAGATAACTATTCTACTTCCCTCATAAGGATTAAGTTAGATCATGTACATTAAGATCATTTTGTAAACTATAATGTATTACATGACAATAACTACTATGGCTATTAGTTAATAGCACCAGTAGAGGGTTTGATCTTGAGACTATTTTAGTCCACATCTCACTAAAGGTATGTATGAAGGTAGAGGAAATAGCTTTATCAGATTTGTAGGTGACACAGAGCTGGCAGTGAAAGCTACTATAGCTGATGTGTCTTAATAATTCAGAGTTTATGCTAGCGTTAGGACAGTCATAATGATTTGGGCAGGCTGGAATATTTGAAAAAACAGTAAGGAAAAAATTTAGCAAGAATTCGCTTTTATATCTGTGCTTGGCTAGAAACAAGATTCCATAAGGACAGAACGAGGCAGCTGTCCACGGAAAAAGGGTCCAGAAGATCTGGTCAACCTCCAACCCAGTCTGAAGGAACTATGTGAGGTGGTTACAGAAAAAGGCAGCAGAATTATGGGTTGTGCTTATAGAAGTAGAGGCCATAGTATTCTTCTTAGGCCAGTACCCAGCTGGAGTCATTTGCTTACTTCTGGAGAGAATATACAGAGAAGCAAGATTTCTAGTTAAGTGACAAATGGTTGAAGGTATTACAAGTGCCTGGGAAAGAGAAGAATAAATAGTGTTGGAAACAATTACTACCATTACAGCAATAGCTAATATTTATTATTTGTATATGTCTACAATAGTCCATTATCTATGTTATCTCATCTAATCCTCTTAACCTGGTGAGGTTGGTAGCATTGTTTTCCTGCTTTCCCATTTTATAGTTGATAAAACAGGATAAATGGTTCACTCAAGGTTACATAGCTAGTAAATGAGAGAGCATATATTTCCACTCAGACTTTCTTATCTAGAACAACCACTTTCAGCCAATTTGCTATGCTGCTTTCTAAAAGTTGGGGGAAATAAGCTCTCTGACAATATTTGGAGGACTCTCATCTGGAAGAGGGATCAGCCCTATGTTATACAGTTCTAGAAGGTAGTGCTAGTCCCTGGAAGTGTACAAATTCGGGAAGGAAGATTTAAGCTCGGGTTTAGGAAGCGTCTAACTTTTAGAGACTATAGAACGGGCTATATCGCAGAGTCTATTTCTCCAACCACTTGCCACGTAGAAGTTAGATGACCAGTTCTTAGGGTTTCTCTTCATGTTACACGATTGTCCCAGGGAGCCTCAGCAACTCTTTTAAGATCTGTCCTTGGCCAACTGTATTAACTAGGACTCATAACTTCAAGTAGCAAGAACCGAACTCACTATAGCTAGAATGTGTGGTCTCTCTTGGAAGAGCAAGGATGCAGCTGATCCTGTCACAATGGAACCAGGACCACGAAATCTAAAGGTCTCTCCAGTTCTTATCTGTACGTGGCCTTGTTGACTTTCTTCTCTCTTATCTTAATCCAACTTCCATCAGATATCAGAAAACATAGCCACTGGGAGTTCCTGGCCTCCCCCCCCCCCACTACCCCCCATCTAATCGTTTCTGCCACTAGAGATGGTATCTTTGGTATCAAGGCAAAACAAATAAATCTTCTGTCAAGGGTACAGGTTGACCCAGTTTAAGAGCCTGCAGCATCTACACCATCAGTTGCAGCCAGGAGAATGGGACTCGTTAAACAATGGCAAGTCTCATGGGAGCAATATGGATGGATCGGAAAAGGATGCATATTAAATAAAATGGTCTTCTGCCCCGAAGGAAAATGACAGAAGGCTGGTAATCAAAAAGCATTGAGAACACCACAGGTTTAAAGTCTTTTTGACTCAACCATATGCAAACTATGAACATAAACTTTAAGGTTCAGGAGTCTCCATGTTGACAACAGTAACTTTTCTGAGACTACCTGAAGGGGATGCTCACTGTTAAGGATGAGTGTTTGGCATCTATCATGTGCTCAGCACTGAGCTAGGTACTACAGGCCATGGTCCCTATGTTCAAAGTCCTAACAATTGAATGGAATTAAGGGCTGAATAGCATTCTGAGAGTCACTTAAAATATAATTATATAGATTAGCCCTTTACAAGTAGGTCTCACATCAAGTTTAAATTAAAACTAGCTTCTCAATGAAATTCTCAATGATTTAGAAATAGCCCAAGCTGCAGAAATTTGTATGCACATAATCATTCATTCATTTGTACTTCGAATGCTATTGCTTTAGACACTCTTTACGGTAATAAAAGTGGTAGTCACAGTTCCCTTCCTTCAAATTTCTTACCTGCTGTTCTCTCTGACTGGAATACTCTTTACCTCACTCCCATCCCCCATTGGTATCACCTCCTTCTATTTAACTCTTGTTCATTTTTTCACATCCTTGATCCTCTTGACTTGGTTAAAACTCTTATTGTAAGCTCCCATAGCATCCTGGGAGCATCCCTTTGGGAAAGCTATCATATTGTACTGATAACCAGAAGGGGGAGCCGAGTTTTTTCCCTGGGGTCATGTCTCTTAAAGCCGAAGAATGAGCACCGTGGACCAGAAGATTTAAACAGAAGCATAGAAAATTTATTACAAGCACATCGACTCCCTGCATGGGGAGGGTTCCCAAATAATGGGTTTCCCATTGAAGCCTTGTAGTCTAGGGGTATATATTTGCTATCAGCCTGTTCTATATGTATCTGTGTCGCCACTTCATTGATTCCTTCAATTGTTCTTGCCCAGCAACGGACCTGAACTTTCCCTGTTCCTATGCCTCAGTTTACCTTATTGTTGCAGACTCTCCCTAGTTTCACATGCCTCCCGCTGAGTCCAGAAGCATTCTATTATTTCTGCATGGTTGGTTCCTGCACTGAGGTTGCTCAAACTGCCGTGTCTGCCCCTGCCCATGTTCCACCTGCCTGTTTTCCAATGGACCCCTGTCCTATCTGCCTGCGTGTCAAGTAACTCCTCTCAGTACTTTTTTTTTCACCCAATGTGTGTCTTCTTTAGTAGAATTAAGCCCCAGGAGGCCAGGGCTATGCTTGTTCTGTCACTGCAATGCCTAGAACACGGTCACAAAAATAGCAGGGACTAACTAGATATTCATTAATTGGGCAGATGTTTACTGAGCGCCTGTGTGTCCAAGCATTGTTCTTGGCACTGAGGATACAAAAGGGGAAGAAAAAAAAGATATGGTCCCTTCCTTGATAGAGTTTCCATGATAGCCAAAGTTTTGATTTGATAGAAGAGTTATCTAATTTAGGCTCATTTCCCAGATAGTGAGAAATGCTGGAGAGATTTGAGTCAAGCCGAATGGAGACTTTGAGTGGCACCGTTAGTTGTTCTTAACTTCCTCATATATTGCTGCTTCTCAATACACATTTCACAAAGCAAAGGCGTGTGCACGAACTTGTTTATTCAGTCCATGAATGCCCACAGGATGTTGAGGGCATCATGGGCTGAGGAGAGACAAACACGTGAAGAACATGACTTATATGTGCACAGTGGTTGGGTCAGTCCAGTCAGACAGCTTTGGTGATTTTTAACCAGTTGGGTCACAGCCCCTGAGTGACCAGCATGTCCTTACTGTTGCTGTGGAGCCTGGGCACGTGGAGCTCCTGGGGAAATGAAGATGTGGCAGCCATAGTATGAGGCCTGGTCAGGACCCGCTAAGAGCTCAGTGCTGAGCAGGGAGATGCAGGAAGGGACTAACATGGATTATGTTGAGGAAGCGGAAAGGCTCTCAGGAGATGGCTTATAAGGCAAGGGTATTATTATAATAGGAGTGAAGGAACAGCAGAGAAGGAGCTCGTTAAGAGTGGGAGGTGGTTGGTGAGCAACGAAAGGATATGGGACAGGTAGGGGGTCCGGGTTGGAAATGAGTCCTTGGAAATGGAAGAAATGACTGTTTTCAAGAGTAAAGAGAGAACTAGGTTTAGATTTCAGCTGATTTCTAACTAATCAAACCAGCTCTTAAATTTGGAACCAGGAAGGACACCCCTACTCCGGGTTTGCGGAACTGCCCTGGCCGCTTATGGAGAGAATCTCTCATCATTCATGCTCACACGAGAGAAACCGGTCTCTGGACAGGCCGTCATACATCAGTTACCACACGTGTGCCCTGGACTGAAAATGCACCCCACCCACCAAGCTGGACACTCAGTGGAACACAGACTGTAAAGCCAACGGTCACCCTCGCCGTTGTCACCCGAGGACAGCAGAGCCTGCGGTGACTCTGTAACCCTGCGATCCGTGGAGGCCACGCTGACCCAGAAACCCCACCCATCCCACTCACAGCCTGCGAGCTGCTGAGGCACCTAATCAGAAAGCACCCCAATCCGGAGCAACAACCGTTTTTAAAATTAGCAGCTTTTAATGATGTGAGCAGAAATCCTTGGACACTTTAAAGAACTGCTCTCCGGAGGGCCGTCTGCTAAGACCAGCAGTCTGCCTGGTAGGTAGAGGGAGGAAAGATCCTTTTGCTGTCTCTAAACCACAGGGGTCCAAGGAATGAGCTGCAGCCGGCTTGGGGTGGGTTTGGGGGGGGGGGTGTCAGGAGAAGAGAAACCAGAGAAAGTCATGCATACAAAGTCTGTAAAGAAAATGTTTTATTTAAAGTGTTAAATACCATCACCAGAATGAGTTTGATTTACATTAGTTGGTGTTCTTTACAGGACTAATCTGCCCTTTTTTTTTTATTTTCCAACTGGAATTCCCTTTAGTTTTAAAACATACTATGTACAGGGCAGCAATGGTCACTGGAATAGTGCTATTTACATGACTAAACCACAAGTCGAGGTGCAGACATGTGAAAATTAAAAAAAAAAAACACACCAACTTTTAAATAAATACTGCACAGTGACGCGTATGTACAAATATTCCATACAGTCATGTCCTTCTTATTAAAATTAGAAAGAATTTATATAGGAATATACACAAAAGATTATGTGACCGTGTCTTAGTGTCAGGGGAATGGTAAACATTTATTCTAAGGGAGAGGATAGACTCGGTAGGTCTATGAAACCAATTGTTGCTGGTACACAGGTGTCTAGATTACTTCAGTCAAGTTTTACTCATTCTCTGAACGACTCTTCCCGGGGCCATCACAGATCTCAGAATGCCAAGACACAATCTCAGTGTTATTTCATATCGCACCACATAAAGAGAAGGCATTTTTAGTGATACTCATTTTAACTTTTGCACCATAGCAAGCAAGACAGTTTTAAATGGTCACCACTCAATTTAAAAAGAGAGAAAGAAAAAAAAAAGCAATTTTTGTGCATGGCCTTAAAGAAATGACATGGATGTGGATTTCAATAGTCATTCCAAGAGATTACATCAACCTCTGTGTTACAGAGTGTACATAAAGAAACAGGAAGTCCGGGTGGTTTATTACGTTAACCAGTGACTTTTCCGCCACACAGGGGGCCTTTAAGAGAAATCTGACCGCGTAGCACCACCCAATGGCAATAACTGTCTGTAAAATCAAAGGCAGGGGTCTGACTTGGGATTTGTGTGTGGACTTTTGGTGATGGCATCAAAGAACTATGAATAGGCAGAATGACTGCCTTTGAGTCATCTAAAAATTGGAGCTTTAAAATTATTTGTTGCAAATTCATGTTTACTCTATTTATTTAGAAATACAATTTGTGAAAAATTGAATTTTACTACAGAAAAAAATGAATTAATAAACAGCCCTGTGTTCCAGGGCCCCAAAGTTTTAGCAGTGTTTCTATTCACATAGTAAATGGAAACTGGCTAAAGAAATTGCTTTAATTAATTAAAAAGCGAAACCCAAGACCTTGTAGAAATAATACTTTAACCCCTGTATGAATAATGCTGGTGCTAACAACAAATTCACTGGACATTACAATGGCCACATGATTTTCGAATTTGCCTGTAAACTAAACTTGGAAGGCGAAAATAAAATTACCATGCACTCACTGGACAACACATTGCAAAAGTTCAACTATCTTCCTTATCAAATACATTCTGACTTACTTTAGTGCACTCCCAAGTCATGTTGCAAAATCCTTTCCAACATGCTTGAAATACAGAAAGCTCTTAAATTTTTTCCCCTTGAGAAATTCATAAATTCAGAAGCATCTACAGCTCTGAATCAAACCTGGGGTACAAGAGAGTATCAGGTCAAAAACTGACAATTGTTTAGAATAATGTCCACTCTGGTAGAGAGAAAGAAAATAAAAGATTAAAAGAGGGAGGAGAAGAAAAGGAAGGAGAAAGATGTGAACAATTTGCACATATTGAACTTCATTAGATATGTATATTTAACATGGAAATAAATGGAATATTCACTTATTTGTCACAAAGAGAATTTTAAGGAACTTCTAGAAAGTATTTTCTTTTGTAATGTCTGCCAAAACACAGACTATGATTAAATAATAAACATGGCGTGTCTTTGTATCACCCTGTTGCATTCTTGCCCCCTTTTAAAACCATGCACTAGTGAAAGTTATTTTTAAAAATAATATAAATTGTTGAAAATGGCTGAGTTTTATTCTTTTTTTTTGTTTGTTTGGGTTTTTTTTTTTTGCAAGTTGCAGCCCCAAGAAAATAACTTAAGTATTCAGCTAATCTGTGTCCATGCAGAAAGGTTTCTTTAATTTCATTCAGTACAGTGTAGCCACAGAATTTTGTTTCCCACAGTCCAACGCATTCTGGTGTGAGGGAGTGAGGGCTGCTGGGGCTCCGAGGTCTGCCCCGGTGCACGCGGGCCTGGCTGCCCCCGTCCGCTGCCCAGGGAGGGATGACACTCTGTCTGCCTCGGACCACTGCTCTGGTCTCCTGCTTTTCACCTGATGCTCCCTAGACTTCACTCCTTGACTTATCGCATGGCTTAGTGGCTGGATCGCTCACTCCATTTCTGTGGCATAGCAGGGCTTTGGGGGTCAGAGAAATGAAGAAAAAGGAACGGTAAAAAGATAAAGGTGCCATTGAAAAGGGCTTTTGTTGCATGAGACTGACTGATTCTTTGAGATTAATCCATGGCTTCAGATTGGACCAAAATTTGAGTGTTACTGAACTCCAAACCTGACAGTTCTTCACCGCGCTGCTCTCTCACCGGAGGGCCTTCTTTAGGGCACAATGTGTGCGACTTCCTCTGAGAACACAGGATCGCTTTGTATCCCTAGAAACAGGCTCAGAAGACACAACATTAAGCATGCAGTGTTACCAGGGTTAGCGACCTGTGATTTTTTTTTTTGTAACGCTGGTTGCTATGACAACAGTTTTACAGCTGCTATGAACGAGAGTAAGAAGGTCCCGTTGAACTTTCCAGAGATGACTGGGATGCTCTTCTTGTCAGAGGGGCCAACGTTGGATCTACGAGGGAGGAAGTGGGGAAAAGTTTGAACCATCCAATCACCATGTTGGACAGCTCCAGTTCATCTAAAAGTATCTGGGCCACTCCCATGAAAGATTTGTGATCCATGCGACCATAATCTCCCCAGACAATGATCTGTTGGCAAAATAAAAAGGAGAATAATGTTAGTACAGTCATGTGTGTAAAAACTTGGAAACTAAAATGCATTCAGTGCTGGCATCAAACATCACGTTAAATAGGTGTATGGACTACTGGGATCGCTGTCTTTCACGACCAGAATCCAAAGGTGTATTAGGAGAACTCTATCAAGTGTGAAGACCATCAGTAGTCCAGGGAGGTTGGAGTTCACATGTGATGGGGTTGGCTAGTCTATACTTCACTTTAGAGGAAACAACAGTGTCTGTGGCTTTACAGCACGGGCCACTGCTTTGAAGTTTCCCCAGAATTTCAGTGGTGAGGAGCAGAAAAGCACGTGGTGAGTAAGGATGCTGGCGACAGGTCTGGCTCCATGAAAGCGCGTTCTTAGGTTAAGGGATAAACAATTCAGTCAATACCTGTAAGACCTTTCCTTGGGGACTTTCTTCGAAAGATAACAGCTGCTGGTATAAGGGTTCCAGCGTTTTCCGGGCCACTTTTGTTTTCTTTTTGGCTACGCAGACTCCATTATCCAGTAGATACACCTTTACGTACGGTGCTTGGGGAAGAAAAGACAGAGGAGAGTGAAATGATGCGCTGTGGTTAGGAAATACCCAACTCATGGGTGACATCTGCCACAGGGTAACCTTGTCAGAAAGAGCTGGCAACCCACAGTCACCGGCCTTTCCACGTTAGGGAGACAAAAAGTAACTATCAGCTAGCTATTCAGGCAGTTTTAGGCAATGTCGACAGCCTCTGAAATGATTACTAATTTGCCATCATAGATTTGCATTAACTAAGGTCAAATGCTTCTAGTCCCTACCAATATTCAAGGGAGACCTCTTACTCTTTCATTTGTCAACACTTCAGTCTAATCAAACATGCTTTAATCTATATTGTTTTATTCACCCATCCCCATGAATCACTTAGTTATCACTCAAGGGGGGGTTTTATTTGGAGAGTAAATTTGTTTAATAAACACAAAGGGTTTGTTTATTCATGGTGGTATGAGCACACGACGTCGAGGCTGAGGTTTCGTATAATATGTCCAATTAGCTGGGAAGAGGAAATGAATTCTGAATTCCATAGCTTGAGATTTATCTGACCGGCTCTTCATGAAAGCATTTTCATGCGTGTAGAAATGATCTTATTCTGTCCAAGGGAGCGGGTCGACTCGCTCCAAGAGCTGTCTAAATACACCTGCCTCAGTCACCACCGCAAGGCTGTACAGCAGGTCATCTACATTATAACTTAGAATTTCTGCAGTGGTGGCAAAGTTAAGAGACTCAAAATCACCACCAGCCCGTGGAGGTGCTGAGGTGAGAAACCTCGTTTGAGAATCCTCAGTAGCTATTCTGTCATCAGATCCGGACAGACATCCCTGCACAGTGCAGGAGTCTGAGGCACTGCCCATGCTACAAGCAACTCAGTACACGAATGCCTTCAGTACGAACTATGTGGCATCGTGAAAATTGATCACGATGCCTCGTTTCCTTTATACACTACAGGAAATAGGTCTTATCATGAGAATGACCTGCATAAACAGGCTTATGCTACTTTGGGGCCTGTATCTGTTTTTATTTCAATTCCAGGATCTAAGGATTCCCGAGGAAAACTTTGAAGCTCCAGATAAATCGAAGAATAACACAAAACACCAGCTAATGAGAAAAAGAATTAGAAGGGACGTGCTGTACGAAGTGAACGATCTGTGTGGTAGTTTTTATTGTGCAGCGGTTTCCACTACACACGTACGCACTTATCTAACAACATCTATTATCCCGACCGGGCCACCCTCACTGGTGCTCACTCAGAACACACACACAAACTACTACAGGTAACCGACTCATGTTAGAATCCTCGATGACCTGAAAACAAAGTTTTCAGCAGCGAATAAAAAACAAAGTCTCCGAATTGCAGGATGTGGACTGTGAGCAAGAATAGAAGAATCCCTTCTGCTTTTACCTGGCAGTGTCTTGGAACCTGGTTTGACAACAAGGCCACGGGCCCGGATGATCTCCACCTCCAACTGTCCCTTTTTGTCCATCATTCCCACCTGAATGTCACCTGGTGGCATGTGAGGGGAAAACAAACAGAACTTAATACACAGATGCAGTCAGAAAAAAATGCTAGGCTTAACATCATTTCCCATTTACTTTCCTAAATTCATATAGATTCCACATTTTATGAATAGCATCTCACTTTCAACAGCATATAAATGAAATGGGGGAAAAATTAGTTGAAGATTTTTTTTTAATATATTTTATTGATTTTTTTTACAAGGGGAAGGGAGAGGGATAGAGAGCTAGAAACATCGATGAGAGAGAAACATCGATCAGCTGCCTCCTGCACACTCCCTACCGGGGTCGTGCCTGCAACCAAGGTACATGCCCTTGACTGGAATCGAACCTGGGACCCTTGAGTCCGCAGGCCGATGCTCTATCCACTGAGCCAAACCAGTCAGGGTTGAAGATTTTTTTAAATTGCTAAAATATAAAATACTTAATCCTGCTGATAATACTGTTAAGAATCCCAGGAAATGAAAAAATGTGATTCTCCACAATGTAAAAGAACAACAACAGAATCACGTGACAGAAATCCTTACCCATTGCAGGTGTAGCCAGAGTCTGGCGCCCCACCAGCTGGGCAGGGCCAAGGCCATCCAGAAAATCGCTGAACTGGCTGTCAGAGGCCAAGCGGACACCAGGGAAGATCAGACTGAAAGCAGAATAACACATGGGATTAAACCCTCAACCTGTTTCCCATCAGCCAGCCCAGGTTTCCCGGTAGCCCCTTCCTGCAGGACCTGTGGGAACCACTGCTTGGCCACTTGCATTGGTTGGATCCCATGGTCCTCCCTCCTTATTCTCTAGCGGCCCATGTGTGTCACCAGGAGCACTGGTCACACTGGACTGCAGGCTTCCACGTATGAGTCTTTCTCTTCCTTGTCTGGAGGACACTGACTATGGTTTCTATTAATAGCGCTCAGGACATATTGAACACTTACTCTGTGACCGGCATTATCATATTTGATCATCTTAGCTGCCCTAGGAGATAGATTCCATTATTTAACCCATTTTATAGAGGAAGAAACTTTTTTCGTATCACTCCCACCAGCACACAAACATACCATTATTTCTTCCACCTTAAAAAAAATTCCCTCCACTAACCCCACTTGCCTCTCCAGCTGCTACCCCATTTCTCTCCCGAAACTCCTCGGAAGAGTTGTCTCTGTGTGCTGTCTTCTATGTCTTTCCTCTCACTCTCCCTTGAAACTCTGCTACATTTTCCCTTGTTCTCTTCCTTGCTTTATCTTCTCCACTCCACTAAAATGTCTCTGATCAAGGTTACCTAGTAGCCGCAGTGGTAAATTGAACCGATAATACTCTGTACTAATTAGTATGATTTAACTTCGTGTCATTTGACACAATAGATGCCTGTTTCTTCCTTGAAACCCGTTTTCCACTTTGTTTCCCAGACTCTAGTCCTGGTTTTACTTTTTGGCCACTTTACCGCAGTCTCCTTTGCTAGCTCTGCCTAAATCATGGGAGCTTGATCCTTTGACCTGATATCATTTCCACGCCCTCATTCCCGTAGTAACCTCGTCCAGCCTCATGGTTTTAAACAGCATCTATGCTGATGTTGCTAGAATGGCATCTCCAGCTTGGGACTCTCCCTTAGGCCGCCGATCTGTTTCTAACTGCTTTGTCAACATATCTGCTTGGATGGCTAATAGGCAGTGAAATATAACTTGTCCCAAACCCCAAGCAAACAAAAAACACAAACTCTGTTCCCCTCAGAGGGTCCCCATCTGAACCCCCTTTACCCTTTCAATTAATCTTGGAGATGTCTTTCCTCTTTGCTATAGATTGAACTGTGTTTCCCCCTCCCTCTCCCTCTGGGAAATTCATGTACTGAAGCCTTAATCCCCAGTATGACTATTGGGAGACACGGCCTTTAAAGAGCTAATTAAGGTTAAGTGAGGTCACAAGGGTGGGGCCTTAATCTAATAGGATTGGGGTCTTTCTAAGGAGAGGGAGAGACAGCAGGGACATGCGCCCGCAGAGAAGACCTCGTGAGGACTCAGTGAGGAGGCCAATGGTGAGGCAAGGGGAGGAGCCTCAGGAGAAATCAACCCTGCTGACACCTTCATCTTGGATTTCCAGCCTCCAGAATTATGAGAAAATATACTTCTGTTGTTTAAGCCACCCAGTCTGTGGTATTGTTATGGCAGCCCTAGCAAACAAAGACTCTTTTTCTCATGTCATATCACATACGTCAATATTACTGGCTCTACTATCAAAATACATCTAGAATCTGGCCCCAATAATGATACCACTGTGGCCCAAGCCCTCATTTCCAGCTTCTGCGTGTTTGCAACAGCCACCTTTGCTTGCCACCCCCACACCAGACAGAGTGATGTCTCCTCAAAACCCTCCATTGACTTCTCATCTCTCGGAGTAAAAGCAAAGTCCTTACAATGATGTGTACAGAGTACACAAACTGTCCACCCCTGCTCGCCACATCTCAATTCCTCGTCTGTTACCACCTCTGCCCTTTCTCCAGTGCTGCCCTCCACTGCTGACGCCTGCCAAGCTCCTGCCTCAGGGCCCCAGCACCCCTTCAGCATAGAATGTTCCTCCCTCAAATATCCATATACTCACTAACATCCTTCAGATCTTTCCTTAGATGTGTCCTTTTCCCTGTCTACCCTACATAAAACCTTACACATACCCTGTATCATCTCTCTTCCTTTCTTTGTTTTTCACCTTAAAACTTATACCACCTAATCTATTACATATTTTAATAGTTTTTCTTCTTTAATGGCTATCTTGTCTACTATACTATAGGTCTGGTGAAGGTAGAGTTTATTTCTTTTCTTCTATTTTTGTTCCTTGATATATCTCCAGCACCTAGAACTGTGCCTGGGGCATTGTAAGCACTTAATGAGTAACTGTTAAGCTCAATCAATTAATTAAAATGAAGCCTAGAAATGTACCCAAGTTTCTATAGTGCCAAAAAACAGATGAGAACTTAAGCCTATATGATTCTCAAGTCCAAGGTCTTAACCACCCACTGATTTTGGCTCCCTGGTATGGCTTACATCCCCAACTCATAGCACAGTGCCCAGAACTCTAGGAATTCCAAGTTCTGTTTGTTGAATGAATTTAGGAGTATTCATCCATTTCTCCAGTAAGACTATCAACATCTGAAGTGAGGGGTGGCAGCGTAAACTTCTGATACTCCTAACGTATCTATCTAACATGGTGCTTTGCAAAGACGAGTGCTCAGTGCACATTGACTTTGTACTCAGATCTCCCTCTCTTTTAAGGCATCCTTGATTCACATTGAATCCATGTCTTCCCCCAAACTTAGTCCCCAAAGATACAGTTAATCCGAACATTGTGATGTTTCCATAAGTATCCCACATAACCTTATTTATAAATGCAGGGAAGCCATATACAGCTCTTCTATTTATAGAATCGTGCCAGACAAATGGTCCGTAGGGCATATCATGAATACTCTGCCAGCAGCGCCTATGGCCTCACACTGGTGAACTGGCCCATGGGTGTTGTCTAAACAGCTGATGCTTCCGTGGGGATGACAGAATGAAGTCAGTACACCCCACTTTCCTCTATTAATGTCACTTATGCACCATCTGCTGATCTGCAGTTGCTAATTACTGTTAGATTGCTGGCGACAAGGCTACACCATCTTCATAAATGCTCCCACAACATCTAAGGTGCAGCTGACTCAAGGGGAAGCTGTGTGGTAACTACGTACAGGAAAGGCTCCCAATCTGTGGCATTCGGCTGCTACCTTTGTCTGCGCTGTTTGCTACTGCATGGAACTAGGTACCCAGCAGTGTTCTGTACTTTGCAGTAATGAGTCTCAGAGCAAAGGTTTTTAAAATCAGCAGAGCTCACACAGTAGTGGCATGAGTGCTTATTATTTTTGTGCGTTCAGGTGTATTGTTTCAAGCTAGGGCCGATTTTCAATCGCATGCATTGTGACAGTCCCATTTCATCATCTTGCCATTAAAGCCCAACATTTTATCCCCAGACCTAGGTCCCTGGTGTAAAAAGCCAGGTGATGCCACATTTCTCGGTGGCAGGTGAGCCACGTTCCCTCCACAGCAAACCGGTGAAAACCAAGACGGCGCTGCAGTGTGGGAGGCAGTGTTTGTGACAGCAGAGAGGGGGGCCTGGAGGGCTGCGCATCGCAGGTGGCCTCACTCACTTTCCTTCGGAGCTGTAGCTGTTCATGCTGCCGTCGGTGGACTCCCGGCTCGCCTGGCGGGTCATCCAGTTCCTCATCTCCACGGCCAGGCCTGTCTCTGTGCTCCTCTGCACCGTGCTCCGCAGCTTCTTACCGCCTGCCTCTGCAGACAGAAAACAAGAGGGGTGACGGACTGGCCATGGCCACCTGCTGAGAAGGCTCAGCCCACACTCCGAGGTCCTCGGAGGAAAAGCGCTGTGCTCTTATTCAGGAAACAGAGAGAAAAGGTGTTTCAAACAACGCCTTGCTGAGTGGGATGAACATTTTCTAAACGTCTTCAAGCACAAAATGCCATGTTTTGTTTCCATTTAAAACAGTGTTCAAACTGGTAACGAAAGAAACAAAAAAGTTCAACCTCCGGGAAATATAATAAGCTTTTTTTTATTGTAATATTTAAATGCAAGATTAACTCAAACCCGGCTTTTTCCTTTCTCTTTGGCATAGTAAAAGAACAAGGCTTTCACATGATTTCCAAAGAGCCAGTGGTGAGTAATACTCAATGCTTGTCTTAACTTTCATATGACATCCTGTGTTTTTTGTGTTTTTTTTTTTTTTGCAGGATGATTGATGTTAGAAGGCAAGGAAAGCTATCCAAGGGAGATAGCCTTGTTTGCTAATAGTTCCCCATCTCTTGGTAACTCTCAGAGAGATTCCCAAAGGAATACAAAAACCCAGCAATGTCCGGTAAAAAGAGCTTTTTAATATCTGGTCATGGGTAAGTCATGTCCTCAAGGACGTTCAGCAGTTGGGATCAGTTTGGATATGAGGTTTACTTACAGAAGTCAATTAAAAGACCAAATAGGAAACCGAGTCACGTACCACAGATGTGACAGAGGTGAAGAGTGCTATCTGAGAGGTCAGGGCGGAAGGAGCGTCCTCATAGAGGGAGTGGAATTTGAGCTGTGTTTGCAAAATGGGCAGGTTGGGGCCCCAGGAGAAGCAAGAAGGCAGTGCCTTTGCCGAGGGAACGAGCATGGACCAAGGTGTGAGGAGGATGTGCTGCTGAGGGATGGTGCAAATAACCAAAACATATGGAGGAGTAATGTCGGGGGTGGGTTAAATGATAAAGGGCCTTGCATGCTGGCATGTGGCGTTGAGAGACTACCAAAGCTGGGCCAAACGGGGTGACAGTCCAAATGATCTGTAATACTTTACTTCTTGTCAGGTCTAAATATTTATCGACATTGACCATGCATACCATTAGCATTTTGGGGATTCAATAAGCTCTTATAGTGTCTGATATTAATGAATTCATTTCAGATCAACACATATTTGCTGACATTGCCAGTGACTTGATGAAATTCCTTTCACCAAACCTCTCGTAGTATTTGTTCACCATTTGAAACACTGCTTTAAATTTTATCTATTCTCCACTTCCACCTTTAATGTACATCAAAATGCTTTAAAAAAGTATATAATAAAGTAACAGTTATGACTCATTTCCAGCTCAGTTCCATAATCTAAGATTGATATCTAAAATAATTGATAACATGTTGTACTGATATGAACTTAAGATGATACAAAGTATCCCCCATTGATGAGAGAAAGCTCTTCTTGACAGAGGAATGTTCGTTAAGAAATGTAAAAGGAGCCCGGCTGGTGTGGCTCAATGGTTGAGCATCGACCTATTATCCAGGAGATCACGGTTCCATTCCCAGTCAGGGCACATGCCCAGTTGTAGGCTTAGTCCTCAGTAGGGGGTGGGCAGGAGGTAGCCAATCAATGATTCTCTCTCACCATTTGTGTTACTATCTCTCTCTCCCTCTTCCTTCCTCTCTGAAATCAACTATATATGAAATGTAAAAGGAATAAATTTCAAAATGACCAATTTGTAACCTCCAATGGAATGAATGATTCAAATAAGGCACGTTGATGAATGCTAACATCACTAACTATTCATATGAGCCAAAAAAAAAAAAAATCTTTCCACGCATTAGTTCTACTTGTTAAAGGAAAACACACTTTAACACTGGGAGACCTGGCTATCACCATTGCAATCAAGTGGTCAAATTTAGCAGCAGTAATAGCAGGACAATCATATGTGAGAGTCAGAACTTTCTTGATGTTAATATGAAAAATGATTTATGGGGACAGGTTTGACAGGCTGGTAGATTCTGAAAACTGACTTTAATTTTTAGCTTTGACCGTAATTTACGCCCTTTGAGTTAATAAGGCACTCTTTTTGCATTTTTATTCAAAACTACCAGTTTCCAGAATGAATGTAATTTGGAGAAGCCATTTTGTATTACCTTTAAATAATTTTAACAATGCATTAAAGTTAGACTTTCTAAAATCACTGAATCATAGCATTTCAGAAGCTATCTTTGGGATCCAGTGTGCCTTTGTACTTTATGTGCTCCCTTACTGTAGCAATGAGAAAGCCGAGGACCACAGTGGCTAGTTCCTCTTTAGATTTTCATCTTTAAAAACCAGTAATAATTTCAAATTGCACTTGAACTCCCTTCTACCTCAAACTTGCCAAGTATAAGAATTGCCTCCAGCACTCTCCCCGACCTCCACGGTGGTCACTGTGGCCATAACTTCCCATCTACAGAGTTTATATCAAGACATGAAAGAGGTTGATTTATTTACCTATTTTGTCCTGCAAGACCTCAATATGGAGACAGTATGTTTGTGTATAAAAGATGTGCACTGATGTTTATGCTTGCTAGAGCTTCTAACGATAATAAATGTAATTAAAACCCCTGAAAGTCTAAACAAAATAGGGACAACTACCTGACAATTTCTTTTGGGCTAATCCAGGATCTGCATTAACAATTCAAAGAGAATTTAATAAAATTAACAGTTGATTTTCAAAATTGTTTCAGAGTTTAGCACAAATTCATTCATTCCAACAGCTGTTACAACTATTATGAAAGCTAGGTAATTAAAAGCTATAATACAGTTAACTACAAGCGGAAGTCACCATTATGGAAGATATTAGGGCTGTTTAAATATATTCACTTTTCTGAAGCAAGGTGGGGTCATGTGACTTGCTTGGCCAATGAAATGTGAGCAAAACTGGTCCCTATAACTTCAGGGCAGAAGCTTCAACAGCTGATGTGTGACTTACCACGTTCCCCCCAGCCCCCCACTCCCTTTGTGGACCCAGATAGCAACAGATGCCTTCATCGGCCTGGGAAGAGCATGCCATTTTAGGATCAGATAATATGAGTTCCAGCTCTAGGTGACCATTTTAGAACTCTGGGCAGGTTATCTACTTTCTGAAACTGAGGTCTTTTGCATAAACTCAGGATCATATTTAGCCTACATCACAGAATATATGACACGTAGTGGTATTTGATGAGTACTGATGAATAAGGATCAGATACCACAATCTGTATAAAAAGTTTGACAACTGTAAAATGCTATATAAATTCTGATTTTACAAATGACTGAAATAATGTAAAATTATCCTAAATGTGCAGGAAGAAAACTGTGTATAAATAAGTGGGGTCTTGCCATCCAAAGGGGAAAGCCTTCTGGCCAAATTGAATTAAGAGGTTGCCTTCCCCCCAAGCCCATTGCTTTAAAACCAATGAGACTGCCAATAAGTTGAGAGCAAAGGAAGTAGGCAGGGCACAGAGGCTAGACCAGGGGTGGGCAAACTTTTTGACTCGAGGGCCACAATGAGTTCTTAAACTGGACCGGAGGGCCGGAACAAAAGCGTGGATGGAGTGTTTGTGTGAACTAATATAAATTCAAAGTAAACATCATTACATAAAAGGGTACGGTCTTTTTTTTCAATAGTTTTATTCATTTCAAACGGGCCAGATCCAGTGGGCCGTAGTTTGCCCACGGCTGGGCTAGAAACTAAAAGTGAGGTGTTTGACTGGAGTTAACCCACACTTGAAACTAACTGGAGCCAAAAAGACTGTAAGCCTACTGAATTTTGGAAGGACCTGTATAGAAAAAAAGAATTACTAGCCCACATACAAAAGTCTGTTCAACCCCTAAAGTAACTACTGAGTTTCCTAATCTGCACCAGCAAGCAGGCTATGAAAGCTACGAGGCCTCCTCTTCAATATAAACCCTGCAGCTTCGAAGAATGAAGGACAAAGAAACACTTTCCAGAAAACAGAACCAAAAGTGCCAAGAGAGTAAGCCAAGAAATGTATTCTTTCAACCTTCACCATTGCTTCTGAGTGCGATTTTATCATTCCTGTGGGTGACTGATTGCTTTGTGTTCCTATCCTCTCCTTTCGAAATGAGAATTTTTAGTTATGCTGTTGTTCTGTACCATTTAAACTGGATATATGAAAGGCAGATGACTTGTCTTTCGGTGTACAGGTCACTGTAACATGAAAAACCACATCTGGGTATGAGGGAGAGGACTGCACACCACCCAAAATCCTAGATTTTAACCTGCACGCAGTAAAGTACGGCATTTTAAGGTTGTCTTTCTGGGGAGGAAATGACTCTGTTCTATATGCAAAATAAGAGTGTGCATGGATATCTGTGTGGCCAAATCTGCAGAAAAGGTTAAAATTAAGAGTCATATTCTTTCCCTTAACCTTCTCCCATTGATCTCCCCCCCACCCCGGCTCTTGGCTATCTGCTTATGCTTATTGAGCAAGGAGGAAAATTATCAATTGCAAACTAGTATTTTAAAAAATTAAATAGGTCATCAACGCAAGCTTAATGATCCCCCCCATTGGTAATTACTTTCTATTGTTAAGTACAGTGGGGCCTTGACTTATGAGTGTCCTGACTAACGAGTTTTTCGAGATACGAGCCGTCTCTCGGCCGATTTTTTGATTTGAGTTGCGAGCTAAAATTCGGGTTATGAGCCAGCTTCAGATACCCCACCGCTAGTTGGTGCCGTGAGCGTCACAGTGAACGCCACATCAGCCCAGCATCACGTGTCTCACTCGTTCACTTTATGATTTGACATATGAGTAATCTGAGTTACGAGCTCCGTCACGGAATGAATTAAACTCGTAAGTCAAGGCCCCACTGTAGGTATCTGTTAATGTTTTTGGCTCACCAGCATTTGAACACTCTTCCTGTGTATGAGAAATGTCTCGTTCTTCAATTATAGAAGTTAAAATTGTCAAGTATCATTTTAGGGCAGGAGCACAGGACCAAGGTTCTGTTAATTAG